CATTTACAAAATGGTAAGTAATTGGTTAAAATTTGTTCTTATGAATTGATATATTTATATAGTTCTTGTATCTTTCTTTTATTATAGGGTGAATAGCAAATTAGCTGATAAAAAAATTGAACCTATTACGGATTTAACTCAAGCAATGTCCGATGGTGTTCGTCTCATTCAACTTTTGGTGAGCCATTTAGTAATCATATGTAATGGTTGACGTTAATATTTAGATATGGAGCCGGATAATGTTCTCAGTTATTCGACATGGATTATTGAATTGGTTAGTCAAAAAACTTTAAATAGAATATTGGTTACAAAAATTAAAAATTCATTATTAATATTTAGCGACTCAGCCTGAATAAAAAGTCAACCTTAACTCTTTAATATGTTATCGAATAAATTTCGTTTTAAGTATTTATATTAAGATACGTATTCACTCAATTTAGGAAATTATTGGAGATTATTCATTTAGCAAATATAATAAGAATCCAAAGTTACGAATTCAAAAAGTTGAAAATGTTAACAAAGCCTTAGAATTTATTAAACATCGAGGTGTACCTCTCACAAATATTGGTGCTGAAGGTATGATTATTATATATGATTATTAGTGCTTTAATAATTTGTTATGAACTGAATGCAGTAACATTATTCACATTTATGTTGATATACTATAGCTGTTATTCTAATTATTTGTTATTGCCTTTTCCGACTTGCATAAATGTTAACCAGATATTGTTGATGCCAGTCTTAAACTTATTCTTGGTATGATATGGACTATTATATTAAGGTTCACAATTGCTGATATTAGGTTTGTAAATTCTTACAGTAGCATTATATGATTATGATTATTTGTCTCTATTATTCATATATCTTTGTCAATCTAATATTAGCCAAGAAGGACTTACAGCGAAGGAAGGTCTTTTACTTTGGTGTCAAAGAAAGACTGCACCTTATGCTGAGGTCAATGTTCGTGACTTTACTTATAGGTATGAAATACTGAAATACTGTCTTTAACGACATTTGTTTTCTTAAATTATTGCCTAATTATAATTTTTATG